GCCGAAAGCGTAGTCGCCGATGCAGGTGGCAGTTTATCCTGAGCAGCCTCCTCAGGCAGTTCCCTGGCTCCACATGTCTGAGCAGCTATCACCCCAGGAGTGACATTTTAGTGCCCAGGAGTGCTGCTCACAGCAGCCTAAACACCAGAGCCTCACACAGCTAACACTAGAGGGCCGGCAGCCCAGCCCAAGGATGTGCCGCTGTGGCAGATGCTGCCGGGCCTGATGGGAGACAGCAAAGGCGTACAGATGTAAGTGCTCTTTAGGCGGTAGAATCTGTGTCATTTGGCACGTGTTGGGGGCGTGCAGGTAGGGAGTGGAGGACGTCCACACGGAAGCTCGGGTTTGACTTGAGCAGCAGGACATTCATTGGCTGGTGGTTCCACTCGCCAAACAGAAAGCAAGGGGAGGCTGGGCGGGGGTGATGGGTTCAGGTTCAAACAGGGTGCACTGGAGATCCTGACATCTCTTTAACAGAAATGTCCAGGAGACAGTCTGAAGAGGGAAAAGGGATGAGACCTGAGGTTCACAGTGTATGCTAGTGAAAGGAGCCACGGGAAGGTGCGGCGTGGCCCAGGGAGAGTAGCTAGTGGGAACAGAAGGCTAAAGCCCAGACCTTGACCCACAGCAGCATTAAAGGCCTGGTGGAAGAAGAGGCGCTTCAGAGGGGGATTCTGAGAGTCAAGAGGAAAGGGAGCAGGGTGAGGGGCCCGGAGTCCGTCTCCTCCACCTGAGCCGGGCGGCCAGCCTTCCCCGGGGTGAGTGCCGCAGTGCCTGGGCGCGGCTCTTCCACCCTTTCTTCTACTTCCGGCACCTGTAGCCTCACAACTTCTTTCCTTTTTTTCTTTAATTAAATCTGTTTGTTTCAGAAGTAATACATGCTCATTGTAACAAGTCGAACAAAGCAGATGTGCGAGAACTATTGGAACTATCTGAAAACAATTCCTCCTACGTCTTCTCTGTGCCCCTAACGCACACACTCGCACACACTCACATATACACACACACAAATACATGTCATAGGCTCACACATCACTCACGCACATACAGACTCACAGACATACAGACTCACACATCACACATATACCACACAAACATATATGTGCGTGCGCACGCGCACACACACACACACGGAGGTTTTGCTTTGTATTTTACATAAATGGGAGACCATACATATTGCTCAGAAAATTTTTTTTACATAATTTATCATGGACATCTGTACTTACAGATTTCAGTCTTTTGTTGATTGCTGTTTAATGATCTGTTGTTTGGCTACACCAATATTTTCTTTTCCTTTTCAAATATTCTAGAGGATATTATGATCCTCTTTTTTCACTCAGTTTTAAATCAGTTCCCCATGTCATTAACTACACTTTGTAAACATAATTTCAATGACTATATCATATTCCAGAATATGAGTATATCATCATTTACTTAACCATAATTTACTTTCTGCCAATTTGGGGCTATGAAAAATAATACCACAATGAATATAATAGAGCATTAAGCTGTGTTCACATTGCTGGTTATTTTCTTTGCGATGTGCACACTTTTAGAGCCTTTGTCTGTACTACCAAATTGCTTTTTCCAGAAAGACTATGACAATCTCAGCAATGACTGATATTCTTAAATATTCCTAAATCTGTTAGACAAAAGTAGTATTTTATCACTTAGTTAGCATTTTAGATTATTAGGTTAGTTTTGTTCAGGTGAATCAACCATTTGTAGTTCTCATAAGAATGATCTGATCATGGACACCCATTGCTCTTTTTTTCTAAGTCCCCTTTCCTCCCTCACCACCAGCCCTGCCCCAGCCCTGAGCCCTCCTGCCCCTGGGCTCCCCCTCCTGTTTCTGGGTCCCTTGCCATCTGCTCTCAAGCCTCATCCATTCCCTCCACAGCCCCAACGCTGGTCTCTCTCACTTGCTTCCGTGCTGGTGGGTGCCCCCTTGCCCTGCCTCCCCCAACCCCCTGCACCGGAGAACCAAGCTGGCCGCCAGGGTCCACCATCAGCTGGGTCAGTGCTGACCTGGGGCAGACACAGCAGGGCCCAGTCAATGGGGGGGGGCACAGCTGGGCCCTAACCCTCTGGGACTTTGCACGACTCTGTCTCATCCTCTCTCTTCCCATTATTCTAACTTGGGCTTTAATTTTCACAAATGATACAATTTGGTGGTTTGGGGTTTCTGCAGGAGAATTTCTGTGATCTTCAGAGCACGGGGGCCTGCTTGCCCTTGTTAGAGAACAGGGACTCTGGACGCTCTGCAGACCCCGTCAGGCTGCGGTAATCAGCGGGGGCTGTTTGAGCTGCAAAGTGTAAACCTGGGCCTTCTTAGTGAGACTTTGCAGAAATCCCACTGGAGATTTTTCTGCCCCTGCCCTGTCTACTTTCTTTCATAATGATAAATGGCTGAAAAGAAAACTATCTAATCTCCAAACTGCTTGCTTTTTTTCTACTCTTCCTTCAAGGAGAGAAGGAAGCGCAGTCACATAAAACAGGGTCCTTCATCGCCTGCTTCTCAGGAGACGGCTCTTTCCCTTTTCATCCCGGGCCTGTTTCTGATCTGGGATGGGCTCGCACCGAAAGCTCCAGCCGAGCCCTCTAATCAGCTGCGACAGACGCTGCAGTTGCTTGGGTTGCCCATTGAAAATTGAATTGATTACCTGGCCCCTTTGCTGTTTTGTTCCGCATACAATTGCTTAATAGCTGTCACCTTGGCTCTCTGTCCCAGCCGGCTTGGGGCTGACTGGTTCCCATTACTCAGGATGGCCAGTGCGAGTTCATCACCTCCACAGGATGGCCCTGATTGATTCCGTATGCCTTGGAGACCTGTAATCTATTTGCATAGGAGGGAGGAGGGCCCTGGTGGGGGACAGATCAGAAATCTCTTGGCCGCAGGAGCTGCCAGGTCTTGCTGCGGAGCTCCCCATGCTTGAATCATTACCAGGGCTTCATGTCAGGGGTCTGGCCTCTGCTGACATAGCTGCTAATGAATTTGTAAATTTTTTAAAAATACCAAACACCCAGCCTGTCCTAACCTTCACAGTGGCCACCTGCTGCCTGGGTGGGGGCAGCAAGCAGAAGCCATGGTGCTTTTCTGGCCTGAGCCTGAGCCTGCGCTGGGCTTGGAGATGACAGCCTCGCCCTCCCCGCCCCCTCCCCGGCCCGCCAAGCCGAGGACTGGGCCTTGGAGGGAGACATCTTTCAAGTGAAATCCTTTGCACTGGGAACTACTTCAATTAGACAGCAGGGGGAATGTTAACATGCCCTCCGGCCTTTTAAGTGGGTTTTAATTTTATGTTGTAAGATAAGACACTGCGAGGCCGGGCTGCTGCTCCTCCAGCAGGCTCCATTAGTGGGGCCGGCCGAGGCCTCTTGACCTCTTGAGGCCCGGCAGAGGCTGGAAGTTGGTTTGGTTTTTTAACAATTTGTCAATCTGACCCAGCTTCTCTTCTCATTCTCTGCCGTGGGAGAGCCGTTGGGTGGCTGAGCTGCGGCTCGGAGCCTAGACCAGCTTTCCCTAGCGGCCTGGCCCTGGGCTAGAGAGCAGAGCCCAGGGGCTGCCTGCCTATGGCCTCTCAGATGAATGTGCATCGGGGTTTTTTTTCCCTTCCTAGGCAGGGCACAGCAGAAGCAGACACTTTTCATGTGGCAGGTTTCTGGCCCGATGATGTATGACCTGTTGGCGCTACTGAATAGTGCCCTTTGTTCCAGGGTATCCCATGTGCCCCCTTTTTATTGACTTGTTGATTCAGAGGGGCCGGAAAGTTCCACAAATCCCACTGCAGGCCTTGCTCTAGCCATGCCCAGGTGGGGAAGACCAAGGACCTCCTGCCTCCCAGAAAGCTGAGAGGAAGCTGTGAGCTGCCTAAAGGCAAAATATCCCTTTAGAAGCGGCTTTCTTTACCTGGGACCTAGGCAACTGTGTGTCTGGAGAGAGCCTGGGAACCCACAGCTAGCTCCCAGCCCTCTGCCCGGTTTCTAGAAGGTGTGGAGTATCCCAGAATGCAGTTTTCTCTCACCCAGAAAGAAAAGAGCAGAGCAGGTGTGATTAGGAAAAGCCCTCCTTCCCTGTCTCCTGAGCCAAGCTTAGTTCAGTTTTCCTCTCTGATCAGCAAGCCCAAGGTGGGAGCCAAGAGCCAGGGAAGAAGGAGCCTGGCCTCCCTGCAAGAAGTCCAGTCCCAGAGAAGCCCTAGAGCCACAGGGCAGGACTCTGAGGAGACAGGAGATGAGGTTGACTTTTTACCCAGCAGGAATCCTCATCTTAATCCTCTGGAGGACAGGGCTGAAAAGGCACCCTTACCCTGGCCTTCTCTTCTCCTGGCTTCCCCTACCAGCCCGCATTGGAGATGGTGGGTGACAGTGAACAGCTTTGGAAAAGGAGCCATGAGGGGAGGGGCAAGAGGCAAGGGGCTGTGAGGAGGGAGACCCAACAGCACCTTCCGACGCCAGCTTCTCTTCTAGTCTAGTGGGACGAGCCCGCACTGGACTTCCTCTCCTTTCTGGCCGAGGCGTGGGCAAGCGGAGGGCTCCGCCGGGCCTGGACTCCTCCTCTCTGGGTGCAGGTGGCTGATGAGCTCACACATCTGACGGCGCCCAAAAGCCCGTCTCCGCGTGGAAGCTGCTCTTCAGCTCCTTTTCCGAAGCAGCTACACAAACCCCACTAAGAATTCCCTCCATGGGAGACCACCTCCCCCAAATCACCGGGTTGTGTGCTGACTACTAAAAGGTGACAGTTTCTTGTGTGCTGCTGACCCTGCCCTTCTGGAGTCTTTGTGGGCAGGAATCCACACCCATCATCGGAAGAGTAGCAGGAAGTCCACGGTCCAGTGGCTCTGTGGGTCCTCACTTCCCTCTGCACCGAGAGGCTCCACGGTACGAACTGTTCAGCAGCACTAAGGGCTCCATCTGGCTCTTGAGAAAAAATATGAGCAAAAAGGAGGCAGAGCCCATTGCTGAGCCAAGAAATGACAAGTCAGGAGTAAAGAGCATCCACACACTTCACAGTTGTAAAATGGCTTTATGTTCCGATATGTAAAATAAAACGTCCATGCTATATAACAAAACACTTGAAGTTCCATATCCCGTTAGCTAACGTGTCTGCTAATAAAGTTTAATCTGTACTGTGTGTTTATATATATATTTATTTATTTATTCATTTATATATGTTTTTCTAAACCATTCTTAGTTTTTAACATCAAGTGTGTAATAAAAATTTAAATAGATGTCTTTCCAAATACCCCCTCCAACGTTTCATTTCTTAAAGTTTATTCATTTGTAAAAAGCAAAGCTGAATTTGACATGTGGCCTGCATTTGTGAGATATATATATATATTTCTTTATTTATTTATATAATATATAAATAGCTATTCAGCATGCAAAGAGTTTAGTGATTTCCCAAATTGGATTGCAGAGTTCACACCAGCCGCGTGGATGGCCTGCTGATGTTCAACGCTAGAGAGCTGGGCTGAGGACTGAGACCCACCTCACTGGGGAAAGTGATCCTTGCTCCTCTGAGCACACTGGCTGGATTTACCGGAAGAAGGGGATGTTTTCTCAATTCTCATTTTTATTTCTGTTGGGCTTTCCTCCAGAGGCAAGGATTTTCTGGGAGCGGAACAGGCTCCGGAGATGCCTGGCGGCAGCCTCAGCACAGTCTCCTGGGGACGCTGCCAGGTGAAGCGTGTTTCATAATTGCCAGTCACAGGATGCAGATGGTGCCTGAGTGGCCGCGTCTTGCACAACAGAGAGAGAGAGCCTGTGCCTCGGGGACCGAGGTGGGGGGCTTTGTGCTTTATAAGAAAACCCAAATGATGACAGAGGTGCCATTGGTTGCATTTTCCCTCCTCTTTGAAGGAAAAAATTTTTTTTCATGCCCATCAGGTGGCACTTAGCACGTGATCCTCTCTGAGGATCAGCCCTCAGCTGTCAGAGCTCTAGGGATCAATTCTAGGCTGCTCACCGAGCAGCCGGCTCCACCCTCAGACTATGCTCTGTGGCTTAACTGAGCCCACCTCTCGGGTCGTGTCACAGAACCTCCAGAAGCCAAGAGAGTGGGCCTCCGGCTCCCAAGCAAGGTTCTCAGCTCCCCTTGCAAAGAGAAGGTTAGGAATGGACGCTAAGATGTGCACAGAGCCCTCCCACCCCAGCGATGAGAATCCTCCCCCACCTTCTCCATGGGAGAGACCTCACCACCTGGCCCTGAGTAAGTCTAACATTATATTATAAAAATCTCTAAATAACTCACATGAACTCCCCACTGCCATCCCACCCGTGGGCATGTTCAAGATGTCAGAAACAATGGACCCAGTTCCTGCAGCCCAAAGCACTTAGACAGTTGTGTTTTTCCCCTTGTCATGGCCTCAGATGTAAGGCAGCAGATCGAGGCTCTCCAAATACACGCGTGCACACACACATGCACACAGCCCACCCTTCAGAGTACCTTCCTGCGTTTCTTGGTAGTGCAGGCCACCCACCGAGGTTAGTACTGGGTTAACGTGGTCCTGGGCTGGCGAGGAGACTTGGGAGTCATCCGTCAGTCCAGTTCTCCACGGTCCCCATTCCTGAATGGTACTGTAAGGAAGCTTCCCGGGACAGGGAGAAGCTTTGAGAGTAGAGGAACTCGTTGGCAGCGTTCAGGTGTGGAGAGGGCGGCTTCCTCTCACACACCGCGGGGAGGCCTCGCTCCCTCGGGAAGGTGGCCGGGGGCCCCCGCTCCCGGCCCTGAGACTGGGAGAGCTGATTGTAGACGCTGAAGTGGGTGTTTCCTGGCGGCTGGGCGCTCTGAGCGGAGATGGTGGGCAGCCGAGGCATCATAGTGGTGGCGGTGAAGTGCGTGGGGAAGGACTGGTAAGGCACAGTGTCCATGGTCTGAACGCTGTAGCTGGTGTACGGCGAGACTGACGTCCACATGTTACAGCTCAGGGGGGGTGGCGGCAAGTCGTCCACCCCAGACACGCCGGCAATCTCAGGCCCTGAACCCGAGTACATACAGGCTTCCCTGGGGGTCACCTCACTGCAGTAGGAGGGGCTCAGCATCTGTTGGTCGTAGGGAGGGGGAGAGCGGAAGTAATGATCCTCCCCCACCGCAGAGGGAGCTTCCAGGTAGGAGCGCTTGCAGGGTAGGTCCAGGTGGCGGGCACTATCTGCTGGGAGACAAAGAAACCTTCTGGAAGAGCTGTCTCCACCAGCCCAGGGGTCAGAGTACCCGGCTGGAGGCCAGGACAGCCTACCTTTGTCATTCTGGGCCCGTCCTTGCCCCGTGTTGCCATGGCACTCCCAAAACCACTTTAATCAGGGACAGCTTTCATAAAGTGGCAGCAGCCAAGAAATGGTAAGACTGTGGGTCTTGCCCACAGGCCACGGGGACACTACATCACCAGGCCCTGAGTGATGTGTTTAGCCAGGAGGCCCACAGCTTTGATCCTTTGCCTTGACTCTCGGGGATGGGAAGAGTCCTTAACGTGTGCTGGCATTCTTAGACTAGACCCACCCTGGCCAAGGAAAGTAGACACAACTGCCAGACCAAACCAGGCCCAGAGGCCACATCCATCTGAATTAGCCAGAAAATTAAAGCCGCAACGCCTCTGCCTCGATCCTCAGGTCCAAGGAAGGCCTTAGGAAGCCAAAGCTACTTGCAGGCACATTCCTGTTGCTTTCAGAAGAGGAAATAAACCCTACACATGTTCAAAGACGTCCCATCAAATTGTCATTACACAGATTCCAATAGAGCATTGTTTACGAAGTTAAGGGATGGGTAGGCTAATATGTGGAAGGTGACGTGTGCTTTTGCACCTAAAGCTATGTGTGTGTCTTTCAACCTCCCCAACCGTGAGGGCTGGACTGTCTGGAGTGGCGCAGGCCCCCTGGGATCCAGGGATGACCCAGGCCCCGGGACTTGGGCAGCAGCCCGCTCCACAAACTTAAAAGCACTTGTCCAGCGGCTTATCTCGGCTTCCCTCCTTTTTTCTCCAGGGAGCCGTGTGTACACGGGGCAGGGTGGCCTGGAGGAGTGGGCAGGTTTGAAGGCCTGCGCCCACCTCTGCCCGTGGGGAGGCACCTTCCTTGATGAGACACACGCCCCCTCTCTCGCCCAGCTCTCTTCTTCATCCCTCACTCATGCCTCCTCTCCATCTTCAGATTCCTCCTTTCTCTCAAGAGCACTAAGCTCTTAACCTTGGAATGTGGCCCAGTCACTCTAAATCAGGAGTGAGCAAACTTTTTCTGCAAAGGGCCAAATTGTAAATATTTTAGGCTCTGTGGGCCATGTGGAATCTGTCGCAACTACAGGAGGTCTTTGAATAATGTTGTTTCATTCAACATGATTTCATTATGACGTTGATGAGGAAAAGTAATCAATTCTGGGCCAGGGCCACTGTGCGTGGGGTTGGCTCGCTCTCCCCGCGTCCCTGTGCGCTTCCTCCCGGGGCTCCAGTCCCCCCCACGCCTCAGAGGTGCGCACGGTAGTTAGATGGTCGTGTCTAAATCGCCCCAGCCCGAGTGAGTGTCTGTGCGCGTGGCCCTGCGATGGAGGGGCGTCCTGTCCAGGGTGGGGTCCCGCCGTGCGCCCTGAGCTGCCGGGATAGGCTCCGGCCACCTGCCACCCTGAACTGGAATAAGCGGGTTGGAAAATCATTCTCTCACTAGTTTTTATTCATCTTTCTTAAATGTATGTATAGCTCACATTTATTTCCGTGTTTAATATCGATGTGTTTGGGGGTCTTTATTTAGAAGTTTGGTGATGTTTTCATGACCAGAAATATGCTGTGGGAACTGAGCTCTTGTTTATATCAATTAGCCTGTGGTAACACTGGTTTCCTTATGCTTAGTGTTGCTTGATGTCGCAGAGCCTGTCGACGACATTTAAGTGAGGACTTGCTGTGCTCAGCTCTGCTGTCGTCACATGAGGTAAGTAAATATGAATGGCTGTGCTCCAATAAAGCTTTATTTACAGATACTAAAATTTGAATTTCATATAATGTTCACGCATCATGAAATAGTCTTTTGATTTTTTTCGACTATTTAAAAATATAAAAACCATTTTGTATGGCTCACAGGCCAAAACAAAAATAGGCAACCGGCCAAATTTAGTCCAAGGGCCTCAGTTTGCCAGCGCCTGGTCTAGGTCATTAGTTCTAATGGGACTAAGTTCTAGGTGGAAGCTGCCTGGATGGGCTCTAGGAGTTGGACGGAGAGAACATTCTGAGTTGCAAGCAAAAGTCCCCAAACTCATTCCCAAGAAAATCTCAGTGACCCTGTGAAGTCGTCGTGTGTAATAACACTAATTAGCCCTAGTTTATAGATGAAGGAACCAGGACCTGGTTCCAGGCACAACCGTGCTGGTTCTAGCTCAGGCTCCACTTCACACAGAAGCCGGCACACACGGCGCTGAGGCCTGTGGTCCTGGCCCCAGCCTACACCCACAATAGCTCATCTCCACTCTCAAAAAGCCTCTGCAGATCCTGGTGTGAGGGGGCAGAGAGCCTGTAGTCATGTCTCTAGGTTATCCCTGTGTTAGGATTGAGGTGGCTTTGAGAAATGACGACCCCAATCCAAAAACCTCTGGGCTGTGGCCCCTCAGCCTCCTCCCGTGTTCGGGGGCACAGCCCAGCTGGTTTCGGGCTGTCTGCCCACCCTGTTCTCAAAAAAGTGGCTGCAGAGCAACACCTGGAACTGGAGAGGGTCTCAGGGTCTGGGGATACCAAGGCCACAAGCTGTCTATGAGGATTCAGGAGGCTGCATTAAAAGCAAGAGCCAACATCCCTGCACTGAGCCTGGCCATGATCCCTCACCCTTCAGGCTTGCTCTCCCAGGCCACAGGTGTGTGTGTGTGTGTGTGTGTGTGTGTGTGTGTCTGCCCATGCTCCCATGTGTAGTGGGGAGTGTCTGCCAGGAGAGCTTCACCCCTCCTCCGACCCTCTAGGGCTTCTAGTCCAGGAGAGCTACCTCGTCTTTTCAGGCAGTGGTAGAAGAGGCTGGAGTCCCTCTGGGATGGGAAGGTGTTGAGGGGAAGGTCCTGTGGCTCTGCTGCAGCAAACTGCACGTGGGCCCCGTTCTCATACTGGTAGTGCTGGAGCGCCTGGTGCGGGCCGTGCAGGGGGCTGACGTCAGGCTTGGCCGCGAGCTGCGTGGAGACCAGCCTCTGCCTCATGATGCTTTTGGAGATCACCGGGTACTCTTTGCTGGAGCAGCGGGGAGGACAGTCAGAGCGAGACAGGAGAAGAGTGAAGGTACTTCGAGGTTTACCGAGTCCCAGTGCCTGAACCCAGCCTGCCCATCCCACCCCCGAGGGGGGCCCCACCTCTGCAGCCGGGCCACACGCAGGTCACTGTCGTCACTGCCCCGGAATCCCTTGGCAAAAGGGTTGTTCTCGATTTTCAGCTGTGTGATCTGTCAGGAGAGGACGCCGGGTAGCTGCTGGGGTAGAGGCCTGGGCTGGCCTCTGGCCCTCCTCCCCCACCCCAGGCACATTCAGAACTCATCGCAGGGTCTGGTCTGGACAATCACACACCCCAGCCCTGGGCTGGCCAGGAGTCTTGCTGGGTCCTCCTTGGCCTCACCATTCACAGGTTTCTGAGGTCCCCACCCTGGGCCTGCCCCAGCCTCACTGCCTCTGAAGCTGCACCTCTCGCCACCCTGTGGTGCCAGCATAAATGCTGCATGGTGTCGGG